ACCAAGAAAAATAAAACATGAAAACCAAAATAATGATAGCTATCATTTGATGTACCTATTTGTACACTTCTTTTTTTTTTTTTTTTTACTTTATCACGTCTGGACAAATATTTGTACTTTTTTTTTTTTTTTTTTACTTTTTATCACGAGTCTGGGACAGAAAATATTTGTACACTTCTTTCAGCATATATATTTATATGCAAATGCTTATATTTTTATTAAAAGGAATTATATTATACCTAAGCTTCTTTTTCTACTTAATGATATATATGGACATCTTCCCATGGCAGTAAATAATTGCAGTTATATTAAATTCATAATATTCCACAGTAAGCACTTATCAAAATTTATGTAATCAATCCCCAATTGATAAACATTTAAGTTGTTTCCAGTTCATTGTTATTATTACAGTGTTTCCATAAGCATTCTTCTACAAAAATGTTTACACATTTGTCTGATTATCTTTTTCGAATAAAATCCAGAAAGTAGAATTGCTGGATTGATATATGAGAGAAGATGATTGGTAAATCAAGATCTCAGTAAATATACATGCAGAGCACAAATAGGATCTGCCTGTGATACCAGAAAGGGCACCTTCTCCACATTTTCCCTTGGGACAGGAGAGACAGAGGAAATAACTGGTGGTGCCAGAGTTAAGTTTACAAGTGCAGTAGCAAGAAATCATTTGCTGAAAGTGAAAGCAGAGGTAGTGTTGTAAAAGTCCTGAAGAGAGTAAAGAAGATTTTAAATTACAGCTATAGAATTGGAAAACAAAAGCAATATTGACAATTGACGTGTCTGTAATGGCACTGGTTTGAATATTTATATAATTGTTCACAAGCAGTACTCAGCAGCCAGGTTTGGAGTTTTGTAGCAGAAAGACAAATGAGTTAGGGACTTAAGATACAGGCAAAAAGGTAGACAAAATGATGAACCATGAGGTCCATCTGCAGAGGGAAGGAAGGGAAGACAGGACGAGGTTAGATAGGGAGGAAATATAAAAGTCAGGAAACTGGAGGGCATAGTAAAATCTAAGAACACGTATATTTGGCATGAAAGCATAAGAAAACTGAAAGGATAGGAGACTAGTCCAAAAGTAGGATATTTGAAGTTAACAACTCAGAAGGTAGAGTGGTTTTTAATGGTAACAAGAAACTGAAAGTGCCCATGGAAGTAGGTTAAAAAACAATAGGAAACTCTGTTGTAGCTGCTTCTAGAACGGAAGATTGTAATTAATAGTTTTTGAAACTGAAATATATAGTATATCTGTTTTCAGATTGAGAAAAAATACTTTTAATGAAATTTAATGTATATTGTAGAAAACCTGGAATCAGATTACTTCGGCAGGCTCGAACCTAAATTCTCAATCATAAGAAATTTGAACAACCAAGTTCTCTTCATGGACCGGAGAACGGCTATATTTGAGGATATGCCTGATAAAGACTGTAAAGGTATATATTTTTTTTTTTTTGCAAATATAGAAATGACTAGCTATTTCTTCCCATTCCATTTTACTGCCTACATTTTTCTATGCTTACAGTAACCCAGTCCTTAGATGAAAAATCACAGGTGCATATAATAATTTCCCTTACAAGAAACTTTATAGGGCACCCATATTTTTTAGTGGGGGTGAAAAATTGGATACAATAAAGATATTGCTAGGGGTCATGTCACTCTGAGCCTATATCTGGATCACCAATCCCTGCATTGTAATTGTATCAACTGTATAAAATCTCTATAGTTGGATCATTAATCCCTGCTGATTACAGCTGAAAATGCTAATAGGATTTTCAAAACTCAAAATTAAAAATAAATACACACACACTTCAAATGAGTCTGTCATCCCCCAGAAACTTAGAGTGCTTTCGAAAATGATTGAATTGCTGGTGTGGTGACATGTACCTATAATTCCAGCTACTCCGGAGGCTGAAGCAAGAGGATTGCTTGAGGCCAGGAATTCAAGGCTGTCGTGCACTATGATCCTGTAAATAGCCACTGCACTCCAGGCTGTGCAACACAATGCAACTCCATTTCTAAAATTATTAAACTAAAAAGAAACCTAAAAAAAAGAAAACGACTAAGTTTACTGTGCCTTCCAATATATGAATTCCAAATATCAGAGTTTTAGGCTGAGTTGAAGCAGTAAATGTGCATTCTTTTTGGTTGTGTTTTGTTTTGTTTTGTTTTGTTTTTCAGACGAAGTCTCACTCTGTCACCTGGTCTAGAGTGCCATGGTGTCAGCCTAACTCACAGCAACCTCAAACTCCTGACCTCAAGCAACCCTCCGGCCTTGGCCTCCCAGAGTACTAGCATTATAGGCGTGAGCCACCGCGCCCGGCGATGAATGTGCATTCTTGAAATGTACTGAATTTTTACCTTAACAAACATATTTTTAATATTCTATTTAGCATTTAAAAGTTAAAAACAATCTTTTAGAATCCAGGATATCTTTCAAACACTCAAAAAGTTGCTGCATGTGTGTTGTAACGAATGTCTGACCAGCTGTGCGTAGTGTCCTGCTGGCTGGCTCAATCTCAGAGTGTAGGATTGGTAATGGGTCCATTCAGGACTATCCTTTGGTTAAATTTCTATGAATACTGCTTTGCAAAATTTCTTCTAACTACTATTCTCATTTATTAATGTTTATTTCAGATAATGCACTCCAGACTAGATTTATAATAAATATATATAAAGATAGCTGTGCTAGAGGTATGGCTGTAGCCATCTCTGTGAAGTATGGGGAAATGACAACTCTCTCCTGCAAGAACAAAATTATTTCCTTTAAGGTAAGACTGAGCTTTACTTTGTTCTTAGTCATGTTAATGGACAAAATTAGAAAACTCAGTTATCTTCAGTCCAACCTTCCGTCTAGAACAGGAATAGCAAGAAGCAGAGAACCATGAATATGAATAGTTAAAGAGTCATCAAACTCTTTACTTATTGTCATAACATTATGGTTTTTCTGAGCCTGTCATAGGGAGGAAGGGACACAACACTTGTCTCATAACCTGGGTCTTCTGAATAATCAATCTTTATACAAACAGTAATATAGAATACATATATGAATTATATATTTAAGAATAGCATGTGACTTTACAGAATAAATTCCACTACAGAGAATGAAGCTAATTATCCTTCTGTAAATCTACCACTTTTTGTAAATTATGATGATAGCATTTTAATCCCTAATTGTTTTAGTCCTGCTCCTTAGCCTAAGTCTTGGACACAACCTTCAGCTTCCAGTTGACATATATTATTTTTAATATTAATCTAATAGAATAAAATTAACAAGATCAACTGTAAAAGTAATACTATAATTATCTCAAGGCCAGGTATAAATTATTTCTGGCCACTACTTTTTCTCTATTATTGTCCATGGTTATTCTCTATTATTTTTTTTCTATTTTATACATTATTACTAGATAAACTACCATTAACTGTAGCTCCAGACTGACCTAGAAAACTTTCCATCCAATAAGAGCAGCCAAGGGCTGCTTACAAATTGACAATGCTTCAGAGAAGGATCTCATGTCATGAAGACTTTTTCTGAGTGAGGATTGGCCAGTAAAGGACTATTGTCAGGGTCACCCAATCCTCACTGAAAGAAAGTTAGGATATGACTTTAGTGGAGGTGCCAAGGGGCAACTTGGAAGGGATAAAAAAGCCACTCTAAAATATAATCTGAAGAAGTGCTGTGTGTATGCAAGAGATACAGCCTCCAGACAAATCCCCCAGCCATCTCCTTTGAACTAGAGTGCCAGCCCTTCAGGTGGAATTTGGAGTCCCCATTCTAGACCTGATTGGCAGGCAGCTTAGTTATCATAATGGCTCTAGAGGCATGGGATGGAAGGGCAGGGTGGAAAGGACTAAGCATGTTATTACTGAGCAACAGAATTGCAAGGAAAGGAGATGGCCAAACCAAGCTATGGGGGGTAGAGGAAAACTCAGCTGCAGGGGAAGGTTCAGAAACTACCTTAAGCCCCACCTATAAGTAGATTCTTGATAGGAGAGACAGTTGGGACTGCTAAGAAGATGGAAATAATGCTTGACACTTAGTAGGAATTGAAGTAAACCCATATTTGAGGGATCCTGAAGCTTATACAATTTTAGTGACCATTTTAAAGAAAAAGAATATAAAATTACCAAAGGCATAAACTTGACAATTTATTTAGAAGAAAAAAAAGGGAGACCCTAGAAGAGACCTGTGTAAATGAGGGGCTCTGATGTTTAACCTTCATCAGTTCCATAGCAAATCTGCTTCTGGAAGAAACTCAGTAAATATTAGTTGGAGGGAGTAAGGAAGGGGAGGGGTAGACTAGGACTGGTTTGAGCTTTTGGCCTTTAATCCCGTTCCCCCCACTAATAAAGATATTAGCAGGAGTTATAAGTGTAAACTAGGTTCTACTTATTTATTTATCTATATATTTATTTATTTAGAGATGGAGTCTTGCTCTGTCACCCATGCTGGAGCATAGTGGCATGATTATAGTTCACTGCAGCCTCGAACCCCTGAGCTCAAGCCATCCTCCTGCTTCAGCCACCCGGATAGCTGACTACAGGCGCATGCCACCACACCTGGCTATAAATATAGACTAGGGTCTAGATAATAAGACACCACTGGCTGCCATTATGTGCTTACCATTTTGTGTTGATTACCAGCTATAAAGTTATTTGGGCAAGAACCTTTATCAAACACCAAGAGGAATTTGCTTGAAGAGGCTACTGTCAGGCCAGGTGCGGGGACTCATGCCTGTAATCCTAGCACTCTGGGAGGCCTAGGTGGGAGGATAGCTCAAGGTCAGGCTCTAGCCTGAGCAAGAACGAGACCCTGTCTCTACTAAAAATAGAAAGAAATTAATTGGCCAACTAAAAATATATAGAAAAAATTAGCCGGGCATGGTGGCGCATGCCTGTAGTCCCAGCTACTCGGGAGGCTGAGGCAGAAGGATTGCTTGAGCCCAGGAGTTTGAGGTTGCTGTGAGCTAGGCTGATATCACGGCACTCTAGCCTGTGTGACAGAGTAAGACTCTGTCTCAAAAACAAAAACAGAAAAAAAGAGGCTACTGTCAGTGTCTGTTTCTTATATATACATCCAGGATTGGCCAGGCTTCTCTCAGACTTTCTAGTGTATTCGGGAGGGGGGAAAAGAACAGATGTTAGGTCAAGCTTAACTTTCCCTAGGTTCAGATTCAGCTCTTCCTGATGAAAGAAAGAAAGAAAGAAAGAAAGAAAGAAAGAAAGAAAGAAAGAAAGAAAGAAAGAAAGAAAGAAAGAAAGAAAGAAAGAAAGAAAGAAAGAAAGAAAGAAAGAAAGAAAGAAAGAAAATCCTTTGGCCTTTGGAGCACTCAGGTAGGCCTTGCCAAGTTGAGAGTTCTCCAGGGCCATCAGAACTGTTTCCACATCCACGTGCTGTGTGCCTTCTCCATAAGTGCTACAAGTGATCAACATCAAAACTAAGGAAAGCTACTGCCTCAGGATTTTCTTGCCTCTATTCTAAAATGTGACATTGAACTGTGATTAAAGAGATCATCTCTTCTACCTATCCATGATCCCACCTTCAACTATAATTTTCCATGTTAGGTTTGAATTAACACATTCATCTTCCTCTGTAATGTTACTAGAGTTTTGAAGCTTTAGCTAAGGATTATTTTCACACATTAGACTTCAGCTTAGTCTCAAATTGAGTCCCACAGCTTCAGATCTTTCACTAAATTGTGGAATATTTAGGCAGCTGCAGAAGCAGATAGCAACGAGGGAACTAGTTTATTCTAGTTATTATTTAAGGACCTACACTTGTTGGCAAAGAACAAATGTGAATAGTTATGACTGTCAATTCCATAATTGATTGAGAAGTTGGAGGTACCTCTCAGAGTCTTTCAGCCCTCTTAGGAGGAGGATGAAATGCTATTTTAATTCTAGAGGTTTCTCTGTCAGCCCCTAGGATCATGAGAATCTTTGCTGTCATGGGGCCAAAATTAAATCCAAAATGTCTACTGGCTCCAGGATTAACCTGGAAGAATTTTGGGTGATCCCCACATTTTCTGGCCTACACCGAAAAGTAGACATTATGCAATAATAGAAAAAATGCAGGCAATACTAGCAGTTGGAGACCAGCAGAATTATAGTTTTAAGTACTTTAACCATTCTTTCTTTATAAGACCCTATCCTGTGGCTGAAAGGTACAGGAATCAGCATTTGGCCTTCCAGGACAGGGCCCAGCTAACTAGATTACATTGAGGACCGAAATTCAAGACTCCTATGGAATTGGAGTGCTTGGCTAGGAGAAAGAATCTAGGGCTCCTGACTGAGCCAATACATCAGGGCTGTGCAGAAACCCAGGACCTAGCCCTAGAACAAGTACTGGGTCTATTTACAGTAAGTTTCAGCTCCCAGCTCCCAGCTCCACTGAAAGAAAGAGCTGACAATCCTGAGAATTTCTGCCTCTCTCACAATAGGCTCAGAAATTAGAGCTAGCCTAGGTTTATGGGAGGAGGTCATCAATGTCTTTAGCTGTGAATAGTTGGAGAAGACAGGAATTGACAAAAAGTTGTGGGTTTTGCTAGAACTCAACTTCATCTTGAACAGATGGGGACTCCACTCAGTGGGAGAGGAGAGAAGGAAGCTTTCTGATGGATAGGGGAAGACTAGAGGCCTGGAACTGAATGTGCGTTTCCTGATGGGAAGAGAGTAGACAGGGACAATAGAAGATTAGGAATTATAAGAAGGAGAGAAAATCAGTATTGCCATATTCAGATTTTTTTTTAATTAACTCTTGGGGGGAAAACTGCTTTCATTCTATTCAGTAATAACTTCGAAATAAACTGCATACATACAAATTATTCATGTCCTAAAATAATTAGGCGATGTTGTTTTCTCTCTATAGGAAATCAGTCCTCCTGATAGTATCAATGATACAAAAAGTGACATCATATTCTTTCAGAGAAGTGTTCCGGGACATGATGATAAGATGCAATTCGAGTCTTCATTATATGAAGGATACTTTCTAGCCTGTGAAAGAGAGAGAGACCTTTACAAACTCATTTTGAAAAAAAAGGATGAAAATGGGGATAAATCTGTAATGTTCACAGTGGAAAGCGACAGATATTAAAATTTCGATGTGAAATTTCTGATTTTTGTGTTTCAGAAAGGCTGTAAGAGTTTGTGAGCCTATAATTATAGTGGTGAACTAAAAGGAATAGTGGTCTTATAAAACACCATTAAGAAATGACTAAGCTTTCACAAAATTAAATTCACTCTCTCTTATCCAAGTGAATTTAGTATTTGTACAATGTTGTAAAAAATGCATAGTATGAAAACACATTCTACATTGTTAATTGTCACATAGAGTATACTCAGTAGAATTGTTTTGAATCTTTTGGGTTATTTGTCCTAAAGACAAAAGATATTGACATTTGAATTTTCTAATTTTTAAGAATGTTGTTAAAACCATTGAGATTTTTATAAGGAGGCTATTTCACTTGGCAAATTTCTAAATTTCTTCCATGTTAGTATATCTTTAAAAGTCAGGTTGATCCTGAATCCAGCAACATATAAAAAGGATTATATATTCTGTCCGAATAGCATTCATCCCAGGAATGGAAAGATGGTTTAACATCCTAAAATCAATTAATATAATACATCATATTAATATAATGAAGAATAAAAATCCCATTATCTCAATAGATGCAGAAAAAACACTTGATGAGATCTAATTCATAATGAAAATTCTCAATAAACTTGAAAGAAAAAAGAACTTCCTGGCCAGGCGCGGTGGCTCACGCCTGTAATCCTAGCACTGTGGGAGGCTGAGGCGGGAGTATTGCTCGAGGTCAGGAGTTCAAAACCAGCCTGAGCAAGAGCAAGACCCCATCTCTACTATAAATAGAAAGAAATTAATTGAGCAACTAATATATCTAGAAAAACAAATTAGCCAGGCATGGTGACACATGCCTGTAGTCCCAGCTACTCGGGAGGCTGAGGCAGCAGGATTGCTTGAGCCCAGGAGTTTGAGGTTGCTGTGAGCTAGGCTGATGCCATGGCACTCACTCTAGCCTGGGAAACAAAGTGAGAGTCCGTTTCAAAAAAAAAAAAACTTCCTCAACATGATAAAGGCATCTATGAAAAACCTACGGCTAACGTCATAGTTAATAGTGAAAAACAGGGATACTTCTTTTCCCCTAAGATCAGGAATAATCATGCATGCCAGTTTTTGTAACTTCTATTCAACATCATACTGGAAGTTCTAGCCAGTGCAAGCAGACAAGAAAGAGAAATAAAAGGCATCCAGATTAGAAAGGAAGTTGTTATTTGCAGACAACGTGGTTCTTTATGTAGAAAATCCTAAGGAACACACACATTAGAACTAATAAACAAGTTCAGCAAGGTTGCAGATTATAAAATCAATATGCAAAACTGCATTGAAGCTTTGCGCAGTGGCAGTATCGTAGCCAATGAAGTTTATCCGAGGCGCGATTATTGCTAATTGAAAACTTTTCCCAATACTCCGCCATGACGACTTGAAATATAGTCGGCATTGGCAATTTTTGACAGTCTCTACGGAGACTGAAACAAAAAAAAATAAAAAATAAAATAAAATAAATAAAACTGCATTGACAGCCACATGAAGTGGTAGTGGCATGTGCCTATAGTCATAGCTACCTGGGAAGCTGAGGCAAGAGGATCACTTGAGGCCGATTATGATCATGCCTGCGAATAGACACTACATTCCAGCCTGGGCAACTTAGCAAGACCCTATCTCAAAAGAAAAAAAAAATTACATTGTATTTCTATTTATGAGCAATGAACAATCTGAAAATAAAATTAAGAAAACAATTCCATTCACAGTAGTATTTCAAAAGAATAAAACGCAAATTTAGCAGAAGCATAATATTTATACACTAAAAATTTCAAAGCATTGCTGAGGGAAATTAAAGATGATCTAGGCCGGGCGAGGTGGCTCATGCCTGCAATCCTAGCACTCTGGGAGGCCAAGGCAGGTGGATTGCTCGAGGTCAGGAGTTCGAAACCAGCCTGAGCAACAGTGAGACCCTGTCTCTACTATAAATAGAAAGAAATTAATTGACCAACTAATATATATAGAAAATATTAGCTGGGCATGGTGGCGCATGCCTGTAGTCCCAGCTACTCGGGAGGCTGAGGCAGTAGGATCGCCTGAGCCCAGGAGTTTGAGGTTGCTGTGAGCTAGGCTGATGCCATGGCACTCACTCTAGCCTATGCAACGAAGTGAGACTCTCTCTCAACAACAACAACAAAAAAGATGATCTAAATAATTGGAGAGACAGTCATGTTCATTGATTGAAAAACCTCATTCAGTATTGTTAAGATGGCAGTTATCCCCAAATTGATCTATAGATTGAACTCAATCTCCATCAAAATTCCAGCAAGAAATTGACAAGCTGAACCTAAAATGTATATGGAAATACAAAAGACCCAGAACAGACAATTTTTTGAGACAGAGTCTCACTCTACTGCCGAGGCTAGAGTGCCATGGCATCAGACTAGCTCACAGCAACCTCAAACTCCTGGGCTCAAGCAATCCTCCTGCTTCAGCCTCCCGAGTAGCTGGGACTATAGGCATGCGCCACCATGCCCAGATAGTTTTTTCTATATATATTAGTTGGCCAATTAATTTCTTTCTATTTTTAGTAGAGAAAGAGGTCTGGCTCTTGCTCAAGCTGGTCTCGAACTCCAGACCTAAAGCAATCCTCCTGCCTCAGCCTCACAGAGTGCTGGGATTACAGGAGTGAGCCACCACACCCAGCCCTAGCTGGAGTTTTAAAAAACAGAGCCTGACACAAGGTTTTGTGTGTAGGTGACTATATTTTAGAGGTGATCCCAGGGAGCAGGAGTGAGAAAGCTAGGAGAGTAGAGAGGGAAGGTGCAAACGTGGGTAGGTGATGTGGTATCAAGGTCGTCATTGTGGGCCTGATTTGTTCAGACCCTCCTGAGAAACATTCGGAATGCCGCCCAAAATGATCCACCTGAATTCAGAAAGCAAGGCAGGGGCATTTACCCACTGGTAGCTGAAGGCTGTCCCTGGGGCTGTTAACCCCCACACTGCCAAGCTGTGCTGTGCTTGTCCAGGCGGACTTATTTTCAGCAGAAAGTGAGAAGACTCGCAACACACTGGAGGCAATATTGTGAGAGTGAGCTGGCAGGGAACTGTCCACTGCGGTTACCTCTGGGTGCCCTTTTCCATCGGATCTAAGATGCCGTTAGCTGTAAGACACACCATTATTATTATTTTACATTATTTTACATATTTTACATTATTATTTTACATTCTCGTCAACCTAAGAGGAAGAGGCTGAGGCACAAAATATAATTTAAAGAGTTTACTTGAGCCCAAGTGAGGACAGCTGCCCAGGAGACTTGGCCCCAAGTAACCTTGGATGTGGGCTGAATTCAGCCTTTGTTACAAGCAGGTTTTTAAAGGCAACAACAATAAAAAAATAAAAAAAAGAAAAAAAACGTGGGACAGAGAGTGGGTTGACACAAAGTTTGCCAGGAATTCTGGTTGGCTTACAGAAATAACATCGATGAGTTTGGGTATACATTGGTAAGCTATAGGGTGTGGGTTACAGTGTCACCTGGGGCATTCTTAGTTCAATTCACAGCTACTTGTGGCAATAGCAAGTGGTTTCAACAGATGAATAGGCAGCTCAAAGGAGGGACTAGAATGTGATCACTGCCTCATTTTAATATCTCTCTAGATCTGATAACTTAAAAGGACTCACGTTCCTCAGTTCTTTTCTCATGCCTCTAAGAAAGAAAAGACACTGCCAACTAAACTATGGCATGCCTTCAATGGTGAGGTGCATTCTTATTTCAGAGATACTAAAATATGAAAAGTTGCTATCTTAGAATTGATGCAATTCAATATACAATTTCAAACTATTTGCACTAATCTAAAGTGCATGCCTACATCTCTGTAAACCTTTAATAAAATCTGCTAAATACATTTCACTTGGTACGACTCATTCTTTGTGGAAATTAGGGGGAATAGCTGAATTTCACATCTGAATCAGTGTGAACAAAAGAGTAGCATGTTTGAATATCAAAATAATCGCTATCGGAGGCAGCAAGTGCTTAGGACCAAAGGTGGCCCCGAGTCTCAGGAATCTGCAGAAACTTTGAGAACAACATTGGACTTTGCTCCACTGGGAGTTTGAGCCAATCTTAACAAGATCTTAATAGACAGGAAGGAAGAGTACTTTAAGAAAAAAAAATACCAAATAAGGATCATATTAAAACAGACTGTTTTAGATTCTTTTCCTCTTAATTACATATAGTTTGATCACCTTTTTTAATTGGCTAGAATATGAAACCAGTCTTTGCCTATTTAGGTCTTAGAAAATTAAATCCAATAATGGGTTGCTATCTTATTTGTAAGCTTTGTTTCAATAAAATTAACATTCTTAAACTTTTTGCTACAAAATAAAAAATAATGATTAAGAAAGCACATAATGTATGAAAGTAGCTTTGTTTTATTATCCCTGACCAGTTGTCTCTGCCTCGGTTTAAGAAACTGAAGGACTGCATCATGCCTGTTTGTTTTCTAAGCCCCTTTGGGCTTCCTTATATCTTACTTCCTTATATTTTCCCATATGTTAATATAATGTGGATATGTAAAGGCATGGTATGAGGCGAATGGGTTCCAGAGTCATACAACCTGGTTTTGAATCTTGTCTTAAAATCCAAGACTTGTCCCAGAATCAAAGTACAAAAGAGCTGTGTACTTTGGACACAATCTCTCTCTGAAGCTTGATTTTCGCACATGTAAAATGGGAATGACAAGAACAGCTACCTCCTAGGGTAGTTGTACAGATTAAATGAGATGAATATTTCAGTAGCCTCTGGCACTGCAACCCAGTAGCTTAGGAGTACTGTTTCCCTTTGTACCCTTCTCCATGCACTCACCACCCACTTCCACCTGAATTCATGCACACACACGTCACCTGTCAGAGAGAAACAGGGCCCTTCCTCCCCACAAGAACCAACCCCACCCTGCTTTCTGTCGTTTCTTATTCTGCAGTGTGTACACTCATTTCTCACCCTAAAGGAATAAAAACATGGCTGCTTTCCCACCATTCTTTCCAGCTCATAGACATGTTGCTTTTGCCCTGTCTTCTTTCAACACATGAGCTTTATAATTGAATGAGAAAATGTCAGGACATAAAAGCCTGTTTTGTTTTGCTTGTTTGTTTTCGAAATTTTGCATCGTTGATTTTGTTGCATGACAAAAAAAATCCCATTTAACCTAGTCCTCAGAAAATAGCAATCCACAGTTTGGAATTTTGCTAAATCTACTTAAAATTGTCTCTGGACTCACAAAACTCATATAATCGAACGAAATTTTCTACTCACATCTGCAGTCATGCTCAAAATTTCGCCTTCAATTTTTTTTCTCCATTGATGATAGGTTTGCTCATAGATGGGCCCTCACCCTTATGAGTGGAGCCTGTCTTTTGTCTAGCACCTAAATTTTTTTTTTAGTATATTACGGGGGTATAAGTGTTAAGGTTACATATATTGCCCATGCCCCCCTCCCTCCTCGAGTAAGAGCTTCAAGCGTGTCTATCCTTGAAACATTGCACATCTTACTCGTTGTGGTTGTATATACCCATCCCCTCTTCCCCCCTCCCACCCACCCAACACCCAATAAATGTTACTCCTATATGTCCACTTAGGTGTTGATCCGTTAATACCAATTTGCTGGTGAGTACTTGTGGTGCTTGTTTTTCCATTCTTGAGATACTTCACTTAGTAGCACCTATGTTCAGTGTGTCTCACAGAGCTCAGTTCAGAGAACTAGAAAGTAAAAACAGCCAAAGGTATCAGTATTGGAAACCAATCAAAATTTGGGGCAAGATGCTATGAGATTACACCCAGAGAGCTCCTCAACTGACCAGCAGAGAAAGCACTTTCTCTTTCTGGCTCTCAGACTGCAAAACCTGTTCTGAATCACTAACTCACTTTTTTGAACACTTTTGATTAAAAATCACAACCACAGCTAGAGATATTTCCAGGAAGTTCTCAGATACCATATTCTGAACACAATGTCTTTTAAGACCAGAGGCGCACAGGGCAGAGCCGTGGGCCTTCCAAAGATGCCTTGCAGCAAGAGAGAGAAAAGCAAACACAGAAGGAGAAGAAGTTGTCTATGGCCATACCACCCTGAACGCACCCAATCTTGTCTGATCTCAGAAGCTAAGCAGGGTCGGGCCTGGTTAGCACTTGGATGGGAGAAGGAGAGGAGGACTTCTGGTTGGCTGGTTGGGGAAGCCTTAACAGAGAAAGTGTCATTCAAGCCAAACCTTGAAGGATAAAAAGAATTTCAAGAGACAAACGTGAGGAAGACCTCTTTCCTTCTAGCACATGAACACATATTTGTTGGAAGTTATCTCTGTAGGTCAGAGTTCTAATGGATGTAGCAGGTATGAGTCTTATTCCACAAAAGCTGAAGGGTAAGAAATGCAACTTTATTTTCTATATTTTAATTTCTTCTCCCACTTCTCACTATGCTGAGGGTAGTGGAAACTTAGTTTTAGTCATTGCTGGGTGCCCCCTCTTTCTCTGTCATTTATATCTAAGCTCTATAGCGTAAATAGATAGTACCAAGGTGTCAGGGATGGGATGAGTAGGGAAGCTAGTCACTGGTCATTATGGACAGACTCTGAACCTGCTGAGATATCCATCATCTGCTTGTGGTCCCTCACTCCTGTCTCCAATGCCCACTTAGGAGTATGGACCTCTCCATCTACACAGTTGCTGGTCCAGGATCCATTTCCCCACTCTCCATCATACAGCAGACAGGTGATCAGAGTGGGATTGCCATAAACCACCACCCCTGCCTACCAATTCCACTGGTGGATCCTGGTTTGCTCAGGCATAATCCCATCATCCTTTCCCTGATGGCATTTCCTTAGTCACAGTGATTCCTTTGGGGGTGAGTGTGTCACCGAGGTTGGTCCCAACTGAAGCCCGGGAGTATTTTAACATGGTTGGAAGAAGAGACGTTCTCTTTCTGAGTAGGCAGATGTGAGTCCTGGAACGGATACAACTGTTTTGCTGTTGGAAGGGAAGACAGCCTGAGGACAAAGCAGACGCCTGGAAGAGAACAGCCGTGGCGCCAGAGCCTGACCAAATCACTCCCATCTCTGAACTTTCATTACTGACCAAGTACAATCTGCTTATTGTTTAAATCCATTTGAATTGGATTTTCTTTTTTTTGTTTTGAGACACAGTCTCACTCTGTTGCCTGGGCTAGAGTGCCGTGGCGTCAGCCTAGCTCACAGCAACCTCAAACTCCTGGGCTCAAGCAAGCAATCTTTCTGACTCAGCCTCCCTAGTAGCTGGGACTACAGGCATGTGCTACCATGCCTGGCTAATTTTTTCTATATACTTTTAGTTGGCCAATTAATTTCTTTCTATTTTTAGTAGAGACGGGGTCTCGCTCTTGCTCAGGCTGGTCTCGAACTCCTGAGCTCCAATGATCCACCCGCCTCAGCCTCCCAGAGTGCTAGGATTACAGGCATGAATTGGATTTTCTATTACTTCCACTCAAAAGCATCTAACTAATCGAGTCTACTTCAGTGACATTCTTGGGAGCACTGAGCATAATCTGGTTTTTCTGGACTTCTCTGGGGCTCAGGGAACTATGAGGTTGTCCACGCCTTATCTGCTGGACATACCACACACCATTTCTTGCTGCCTCCTAGGCCTCTACCCAGAAAAGGGGGCATAGAGTCCCTCTATTTTTATACCTCACAAACTTCTCTGGGGGGGATTACCAACCTACACCTCATCCCTAGAACCCAGCTTCGTGGAAAATCAGGTCTCCGTGACCCACTCAGCAAGAAAGCTCTCACTGGTCGCCTCCCATCTCTGCCTCCCCCTGCCCTGAGGCTTCCTCCCTCCTACTCGGGGAGGAAGAGTGGGCACTAACCGTAGGAGGGCAGCCTGCTCATCCTCTACCTCTAAAGACGTGGTCTCTCTTCTGGGTCCTTTCCCTCTCCTTGGCTAAACTGTCAGTGGGGTGGGGAGTGAAGGCCAAATAATAAAAGAAAAAAAAAAAAAAACCAGGAAGGACAGGGAGACATCACAGGGAAGAGCTCCCTGGTCAGAGCGAGGTCTGCACCAGAAATAAAGACCATATTAATGTGACTCCCACGTTGATGTTTGAAGCCCAGACCTCACTCCTGAATTACAGACTCATG